TGCTTCGGTACGCCTGGTAACAGTAGTACAGCCGTGGTATCGAGTACCCTCAGTCACTGTCTCTGCAACGAGATTAGATGAGCTCTCCCATCAACGGCCACGCTTTTCGAGCCATATATCGCCGCGTGAACCTGTGTGGTGAGGCGTATAGTCGCTAGCAATCAGATTTGAACTATCTTATCGAGTTGAAACAGTGGATCATGGAGACGAGATCATAGCCCAAGTTGATGCGCCTATTTGGACCCCTGATCATTTTCTTCGTATAGACATTGAAAGCAGTGCATGGCCGCGCTTCACCCATTGGACATGTTAACTACCTGACAGGGAAGGCATCGGTACTGAACGATAACAGTTATATCAGCGACCTAATCTTCGCGTCTGAAACGCATGTGACGACATGTGGTCTACATAATCAATCATATGTCACTTGGTGAAACCAGCACCGCAGGAATCCATCCATTATTACAAATGATACGTCGCTTGGAGCCTCAAAACCACACACCATAGCTCGTAGAAAGTGTTAAATAGACCTCTCGACCAAGAGTTGGCGTAAGCACCAACGGAATGCATTCGAATTCCGCCCCAGACGCCGAGCGTTGACGATCAAGAGAGCACATCGCATAACTTTGAGCAGCGAAAACCAACATCCCAACAATTATCTCCAGGCGAGATAACAACCTGCTGGTCCTACGCGTTGCGGTTATCGTACTTTTCAACGACGTTGCTAAACTAGCCAAGCATGCACACGTCTAAGCTTAGAGGGAGAAAACTTGGATGTCGTAAACCCTCACTACCGGTACACTGGAAGGACCATGCGAGGTTGAAAATCGCACAAACGCCCAACATAGTTCACAAAAAGGTATATATAAGATCTTAGCGGTGGGATGTGTCATGGTTCGAGCTGTCGGTGTGCTGCCAATAGCGCCGGAGTAGTCGTCGGCGGTACCTTCGTCAGCGACGGGATTGCGCTACCCTAGATGTATTTGGATGATGGACGCGGCGTTGGCGTCGTTGGGACTGGCCACGGGACCCAAGGTTTTCCGCTCGTCACCGCCGGGGGCTTTGGGGTCGTGGGAGCCGGTGTCAGCTCGCGTGTCGTGGGGGCTGGGGTCTTGGTAGGGGCCGGGGTCTTGGTAGGGGCTGGGGTCTTGGTAGGGGCTGGGGTCTTGGTAGGGGCCGGGGTCTTGGTAGGGGCTGGGGTCTTGGTAGGGGCCGGGGTCTTTGTTGGGGCCGGGGTCTTTGTTGGGGCTAGGGTCGTCGGTGCCAAGGTTGTTGGCTTTTGCGTTGTTGGCGCACTTGTCGGTGGCTTTGGGTAAACAATACGTGGGTATGACGGTGCCTCGGCGAGGTTGCACGTTCCGCTGCCGCCGACACCTCTGAGGAGGCGGATATTGCCTTGCTCCCCCCAGTTGGCGCCCCACGAGTTGCGCAGCTTGAAGTACGGCTGCCCATCCGCGGTTGTACCGTACCCGACAGCGACAAGCGCATGGTCCGAGATGGCTGCGGGGCATGCCGTGACGAGACCGCCCACGTAGTGCTGCCACACGGGGTTGCCCGCCGAGACGGCCACCGTCGTTGGCTGCGTCTCGAGCGCGGTCTCGAGAGCTTTCTCACCCGCGATATACACGAGCGATCCAATGGCGAGCTTCTGGGGCGTGCACATGGTTTGGCAAGCTCCAGTCAACTGCGTCGCACCCGACGTGTACGAGTAGTCGGCCGTGAGGCATTGACCATTGGCCGCGATCCAGTCGAGGGCACCGGTTTCCCAGCCACCATTGCAGCCAAAACCGTCGGCCGTGTCGCAGCTCACGAGCTGTTGCTCCGAGAGATTGAGAAGCGTGCCGGTCGCAATGCAGTGCGCCGCCTCGGCGGCACCTGTGGCTGCAAACGTCCAGCAGCTGCCGCACTGACCTTGGTTCTTCACCGGATTGAGGCACTTGGATGTCGTCCAGTCGACCGACGCACTCGGTGGCGCTGGCGTCGCGGTTGGTGTTGGCGTCGCGGCCACCGGTGGCGGTGGTATTCCCGCCAGCCCGAGGCGCTGAGCAAACTCGCCTGACGTCAAGAGCGCGTAGGGCCCAATCCCGAACGTTGCGTTCGGGTTCTCGGCTTGCAGCCGGGTGATGACCGACTTGGTCGCGTTCAGTCGTTCAATCAAGAGCTCGTTGTTGGTTGCTTCGGTGCTGGCGCCGTGGATCCTCGGCAGCAGGTTGTTGGTGGTCGCTTCGGCACCAAATTTCTTAAACCATTCGTCCAAGTCGCTTTGGCTCGCACGAGCGAACGCGACGACCGTCGACAATGCGAGTGCCGGTCGCATTCTCAAAGCAAATTCAAAAGTGGGGTCTGAAATGCGTGTCATTCGCATGAGATTGGCCGATATTACCAATCTCGGCGGCGACCGCGGCTCGCATTCCGTGGAGATGCTCGCTTCTTCGCGGCCATGTTGCAACTAATAACGCTACAGTCTACGCTATGACTGGCGATCAAGCACGTATGCAAGGAAGGCAGGAGAGGTGAAAGGTCGAGGCCGAGGTTGGCCTCTTTGGATCAAGGCACTGATACGTTTGATGTCGCTTCAAGACGGGTGGCGATATATGCACGAACAGCACGAGGTATGTCGTCGGGGATCTCACAACATGACAATCTCTCCGGCACCGACCACGCGACAGAACGAGCGTCGGAAGTGCTGATACAGAAGCCGGACGCTACCGGAATGCTCACTTCTTGCTGCACATCAGGTGCTGTGCAAGACACGCAACGCAAATGTAACTCATCTGTACTTTGTCCCTAGTTGCTGCCCACAGCGCTGCGTCCACTGTGATTCCAGTGCTCAAAGATAGCGAATCGCAAGGTTTTTCGAAAGCTTCGGACCGAGAGACGGCTTGAGTTATAGTTGGCAGGAAGGAGA